TGGACACTTTTGTTCTCCCCTCCTTCTGCCTCCTGCTGCTCAGTGACACTCCATGGCCAACCATACCCTGGTCTCTGAAATCCTAAGGGAGTCACTGAGGTCCTATCTAGACACTTGACTGTCTGGTGTCACTATTCCCCCATTGCTTCCTCCTCTTCCTCCTCCTCTGTCCAGCTCAAGTCATCATCTGAATCCTCAGACTCTTCCTCATCCATCTCTAACCCAACCTCTGCCTTAGCCTTCTCAGCCAGTGCATCGGGGTGCTCCAGCTGGGCCCAGGATCCTGGGTCAGCCTTGACCAGGGAAATTTCAACCCGAGATGGCATCAAGGAGACAGAGCTCTGCTCCACGTCTATGACCTGAGGAGGAGGGAAAGGTAGAGGAACACAGAAGAGAAAATGAGGAAACCAAAGGGGTTGGGGTCAGGGCAGGGTGGTGATGAATGACAGGGAGAAAAATAAAAAATGCAAGATGGGGGAAAATATAGGGAAGGAATAAGTAAGGGAAAGAGAGAAAGAGGAAAGAAAGGGGAGTTGGGGGGAAGGGGAGAAAATAGGGAGAAGAGGGAGAGAGAGAGAGAATATCAAAGCAAATGAAGAGAAAACCTCCACTTTCCCACTACAACTTCGTCCCTCAAGACACCCTCTATTCATTGCAGTCTGGCCCTTCTTTTTACCCCATCTGCCTCCCCCTCTTGTGCCCCTTTCTCTTCACTTACCCCCCAGAGCTTCATCTGTGCTTGGAACACACGGTTACCATCAAAGACAATGTGGACATGAAGCTGAGAGAAAAGAATTACAGGGTAGGAACAATCCCAGAAGGTCAGAACACGTTATTATGACACAGAAGCAGGCCAGTGGTGTATTCCCTACATCCACAGGCCAGTCAGATAACCCTGACCTTACAGCTCTACCAGAGGACTATGGAGCCTACATGTTAACTGCGTACGACGACTCAGCCTGTAAGATGATAATATCACCCAATTCACTGGCCTCCCATCCAGCATCAGACATTCCTCACCTCAGTTTGACTGGCCTTCACCCAGTTGAATGCAGGAAGTGGAATCTGGCCATATACAGTCACCACTACTAAGGAATCTGTCTGATGCCAATCATGACGGCAAGATGCTGGCAGCTAAAAAGATGATGTGAAATGTGGATGGTAAGAATGAACTCTTATCCCAGGGGGCGTTCTCATGGTGTATTTGGAAAAGAAACAGAAAGTGTCAGAAAGATTAACATGACTTCATATTGCAAAAGCGCTGGGAGCAGAAATCTTATTTGGTCCATGCAAAAGGGAGAAGATACAGAGCTTGGCCATGAGGTACAGGGAGGAGAAATTATTTGGGAACTGGGTTCTAATCAAGAGTTCAGTAAAGTCGGGACTTACCTGCTTCCCCCAATCATGTCTACCAACTCTGCATCCTGGCTGTGCCAGGAATGCCCCAAAATCCAGGGTCTGGATGCCACAACAGCTCCAAGATTTCACCCTGAGGTAGGAATAGAATTCACTTCATCTCCTTTCCCCTCCCCACAAGCACTCCATCTTAAGGTCAACATTGGGAAAATCCTGTCTCACAGCCCACCCAGTCCCCTCCATCACCCCTCATGGAATTGAGGTGCTCCAGGGTGGTAGGTACATGGAGTAGCATCACTCTCTAAGCCTTGGTATACCTAAGACAGATAAAGGAGAATCAGGAAAAGAATCAGATCGTTTAAAAATGTATGCAGCCTCACATCTATACCCAGCCATCCCTCAGGCATCACGTCTCTCAAACACACGCTTGAGTCCTCCACAAACTCTCACTCACAGCATCACATCCTGGGTTCTGGCAGCTGGCCCCAATCCGGATCAGGCTACTGTCAAGTCCTGGACAAAGAAAACAAGAGTCAGGAACCCTATTCATTTCTTCCACCCAACTGCCACTTTCACTAAATTCCAGCCTGTGAAACCTGTCCTACTAAGGACCCACTTACCTGCTCCAGGTTCTTGGTCTAATTCCTTCTGTTCCAGTGCCATTTCCAGGGCTTGGGATATATTTAGTGGAAGCAACTTTGGAGGCAACTCTGACCTAGGGGGTATGGGTGGGGTGATTTAGTCCAGACCCACTGTGACCAACACTGCCAACCTTCCCACCAATGGTAATAGAATTGAAGAAGTCTGGTGAAAGTAGGGCAGAGTTAGAGAAGATAGATAGCAATCCCATTGCCAATTTTCTTCTCTGTGGATATGCCAAATCCTTGAACCCTGGGGAATTCCCCAGGGCTTCTCTTGCCAATCTACTCAGTTGCTCTAAATCCATATTTTTCTATACAACTGCATTATTCCCTTTTCTTCATCTAATTAACTGTAGACTTTCTTCTGTTGCTCATATTATTTCCACAAAATTTATTCATTCTTCTCGGCAGCCTCCTGGCTGCCACTACTACTACATTCTTTTCTTAATATATAAAACGTATTTTAAAACTCTTTTCCAAAAAGAAAAAAAAAACCCAATTCATTCAACAATCACCCTTATAACTAAGTATGTATTTGTGAGAGCCTATCTACTCTGTTGATTCAAAATACCTACCCCATCACCCCATACCATCTTAAAAGCAAAGGACATTATTTCTGGACACATATTTCCCCTAAGGTACAAAACATACACCAAGCCCCGACACTTGGGTCTCCTCCTATCTCAAGTCTCTAGTTCCCAAACCTCAATGACCCATTAATCACTCCTAGGAAGCTCCATGAATGTACGAAAAACCCAGGGACCTCCTCTTTACTTGGGCCTCTCCCGACGCAAAGTCTCTGCTGACTTTGGAATCACATTCGGAGGTCTTTGCTCCTGAAGTGAACTGCTTGTACCAGGGCCCTCAGGTTGAGGGACCTCAGGGAGCTTCTCAGCACAGTGTGGTCCCACAGTACAGCCCTAGTATAGATACGGAAAGAAAATTAGGGACAGAATCCTTCTATTAGGGGCAGAATACCCGAAAGTAAAGAATTTACCTTGATGTTTAGGAACTCAGAGAAATCTACAGTTCGCTTCCGGCAGCAGGACCAACCCTGATAACAAGAGACCCAGCTCAGCTTAGATTCCTGGCTGTTTCTTTTGCAAAGTGCTCTTGCTATTCCCCCCTTGCCTATTCCTCACCTTAAGTGCGTCATGGAAGATTGGGACCCCAGGGTGATGGCAACAGGAATCTGTGGATACCAGTAAGATCAAGGAAGGAAAGGAATTCTTACTTTTCCAGGTTTATATCCTTAAAATCTTTTCATATGGTATATAAAAAAAAGGATATCAGTAGACTGAAGAACATGCAGACCAATTAAACTAAGGCAGGTACACACTAAATTTCTGTTCCTTTAACAGACTGCCTATAGCTGACAACTCCCTTAGCACCCCCAGAGCTCCTGGCAAGGTCAGGATTACTCACCAGGAAGGTTGGTTTGGGGGTCAAAATGCTGCCCACAGCCTTTGTTATGGCAGAGTAGAGACATGGAGGCGTTGGTAGAATTACTGAAAGGGTATTTCAAGGAGTCTGGCTGCCGAGTGGGGAACACCTCTTAGTCTGGAGGCTTTTAGCTGCCTGGAAGGGCCAGCTGTTTCTATCTTTAGTTCAGGAGGCGTACACCTCCTAACATGGGCAAGGGAACTTCAATTGGTCTTCTCAGCCAATAGGAAAGAACTCAGGAACATTTCAGCTCTGAGGCTTAAGAAAAAAGTATCAGGCAGAGTAGGGCTCGAACCTGCGTGAGATCAGCTAACCACTGCTGAGACTTGTTTTAGATTTACTATGCCAATTTCAAGCCTTACATACCAGCACCTGCTCAGAAAGAAAGAACCAATTTTAAGCCCCCTCCCAGTTTGGTGAAGGTACCCCAATTCCTCTAGCCCATTTTCTTCCTCTTTCAAAGCAGCAGCTTTCCTCCCATCCTCATTACTTCTGTGTACCACCAAAAGCACGGGATCTTCAACCACTTTGACCATAGTATACATCTACCCTCCCCATGTTTGCCTAGATGATTAATATTTTAAGCAAAAGGTCATAAAGGATTATTCTTATAGCCTTGCACTCATCTGAGACAGAACTCCCCTTCCTCCCCCCTTCAAAAACAGCACAGAAAATTAAAAGGCTTAAAATGCATTTTAATAAGTCGATGTTGCATTAATTCATTTCTCAGAAAAACTTCAAAGGTATTGGGGACAAATCAAACATGGTACACCAATAAAAAATGCACAGCATAACTACCTAAGATAGGCAAAGCTAAGAGCTACTGTCTGACAATCAGCATACAGCAACCCTGTTCTCAAGATTGTACTAGGCCTATCAAGAAAAGCTGTGAATGGCAACATCACAGACACAAAAGGGCCATTTTTGGGTTGTCCTTACCCAAGAAAAAGATGGAGGCAAGTTTAACACAAGATTTTTTAAAGATATACTAAATGAAAATCTCTAAGAGAAAATGTCTTCCTTGGGACATGAAAGGGTAATATATGGGATATAACAGAACCGTATGTATGTTGTCTGTGACCTCTGTGGACATGTGCCTGAATTCCCACCTGGGAGTGAATGGAACAGTGGGGCCAAGGTCATTGGGGGATGTTTGGTTTTTGTGGTATATGTGGCAGGATCTCTGGGGGAGGGGGTGTAAGAACAAGAAAGCAAATAGAACAGGGTGGACAAAAAGTGGAATGATTAAGATTAATGGGGGCTCTAACTGGATCCATTTTGCCATGGCTCCCTGGCCCTCACAGGCTCTCAACAATCACATGAGATTTTAGGAATGCACCACACAGAATTGATTAGTGAAAGGATATACCACATAGAACTGATTTGTTAAATATTGCCCCTCCCTTACCCTCTGCCTCCAACATACTCCCTAGAGTACTACAGGCAGGGAAGACCTAAACTATTGGGAGGAATCCCTAACATTTTTCCAGAGTAGAATTCGGCTAGTCCAAAAAGGGTCTTTCTTTTAAGGGTTTTGGGAAACTAGACACTGCAATTTTATTAGTATCGGCGACGTTTGTTTGGAGCAAATTCAGCTCCAGGAGCTGCACGGTTGAATGCAGGAGGGGTTCCACCAATTGCCCCAATTCCTTCCATTGTAGCAGCTTGGCCAAAGCGTTCAGTTGTTGGTGGGGTCTTAAAGAGAAAGAGAACGACGTTATAATAGAACCTGTGCCAGAGCTTCCCACCCATCCACAGTCCCTCCCCTGGAGGCCATTTCCACTCAACATTCAAGGTTCCTGATGGTAGGGGAGACTAAGCCTATTTAGAACTATAGTGGATAACCCTAAAAAGGAAGTTGCTGACAGTTCCACCCATCTTCTTTAACTTTTTATCCTGATTCCTACAGGCTAAGCAACATTACATACTAAATTCCTGGGCTGGATAAATGTTAGCCAAGTCCTTTTTCCTTAACTAGGTACATGGACAAGGGCAGGCCATCACTCTTCAGCAAACTTAACCCTATTCAAAGTAAACATTTTGACACTACAACTAAACCACTTCAGGACTGAATGAGCCATAAAGCTTTTGGACTCATATGTATTTTATATGATAATGCCTAACTTTTGTTGCCTTCCCTCCAAAAAAGAACCTATTTACCCAGGGTAGCAAAAAATGTCAGTCAAAACTAGCCAGTCAGAGGATAAAATATAATTTAAATAAGATTGGGTTTGCACAAAACTCAAAGAGCTTGAGGTTAACATTTTATAGATAACAGTGATCCTAAATACTATTTAATCTGTAGCAAAACTGTAGCAGGCCCAAGGACCATGAAAGCAAAGTCCTTCCTCCTATCACCATAAAGCTCTGCAGTTTACCAATCCCAAAGTTCCATCTGGCATCATAGTGGCCGGTCCTGGAGGAGCTGGGGTACCAGCTGGCACAGGAGCAGGGGGCATGGCGCCTCTGTTGTTTATGCCCATAGCACCTAAAACAGAGTAGTGATCAGTAGAGGAGACAGACATTGACCTTCTTTATCTATGCCAAAGGAAACAATTCAAGACTTCTGGGCTAAGACATGTTACCCTCCTGCCAAAATTTGCTTCCAGAAATGTCAAGCCCCTTAAATTTGGACTAGGTAGGAGAAGCTACATAGTTCAGAGATGAGACAAAAAAAAAAGAAATCTGTACCATTAATCTTGTTAAGTCCTTACCTCCCATAGCCATCTGACCCATCCGTATCTCTTGCTCTCTCTGAAAAACAAAAAAACACTCAAGACAGTCCAAGACGGCACTGCATTCATTCTACCACAATCCACTAAGGACCACATACTAAAGAACATCTACAACAGCTCCTTGAACTAACTCACTGTAGTTGTACAATGAATTCAAGTTTAGAGCTACTAGGACACAAGTCAGAGTTTCCTATTGGGAACAAATTGAGAGATGAAAGGAGAGAGACATGATTTCTTTCAGGGCTCCAACCTGTACAACAACTGCTGAGGACATCAAAAGACCAGGCAAGGCTGCTACAGGACTGAATCTATCTGATCCTGCAGTCACTAAGATTAAATAGCATACACCGGCCCCAGCTTTTCATCCTAAATTGCCTGTGAGGCAAAAAGACCTCCTCTTCAAACCTTACCTTTCCTTCCTATGACTGCTTCTTTCTAAAAGTGTCACAGAGTGGAAAAATTGGTCATAGCCTATTGTGTTTTCTAATCCTACTGGTGAGTTTGTCGTATCATGGGCACATGAGAGATATACCGCATCAGGGAAGGTTCCCTTGAATCCTTCCTGCTGCCGTCGCATCATTTCTTCTTGTTGCCGCCGCATCTCTTCCTCACGGCGCCTGCGCTCCTCCTCCTGCCTACACGGAGTCACCAAGATATTTAAGCACAGGCATTCCAGAACTTGAACAGATTATCTATCTTAATAGGGGACTCAGCCAAGGAGATCCAAGAGCCCACTGAAAACTACCTTAGCTCTCCAGGAAACTGTTAAGTGGGCCCAACCCTAAAACAACCCAGATGTGTCCTTTAGGGGAAAAAGTTCTTTAACAAAGGAGCCAGCCTCATGAGAGCAGTCACTCAGCTGCTTTCCTCTTTAGTGCAGTCCCAAGAATTCACAGAACCACGGGCAGTCAAAACATCTACCTAAAGGGAGAACTTGAGAAGCAGCCAGGAAATATTTGCCAACATATTTACAAACGCATGATGGTAAGCAGCAGGAGTGAGACATTACCTTTTAGAGTTATTGGAGAAAAAGGGTTGGAAGAAAAAAAGTTACCTGAGTTCCAGCTGCTTTCGTTTTTGCACTTCTTGATTGTGCAGCTCTTCCATCCTCCGAAGTTCTTCTTGACGCCTCATCAAATCTAGAAAAACAACAGACTGATTCAGAGTATGCTCCACCCTCCTCATTTAGGCCCACTGATTTTCCACAAATAAAGATCCAGAAAGCAAAGGGGATATTTAATCCCTGAGTGGCCATCCGAGGTATCCAGATTCCAAAAATGAAGTCAAACCTATTAATTCCTTCTCCACAGAATCCAGTATCCTCTGCCACATCTCCAAGCTCATTTGCCTACCAAGATCAACAAAATATTTCAGAGAATAAAAGTTGAAGTTTAGGCCTTTCTCTACTGACTGATACAAAGAAACTCCTGAAGTTATTTTGTCCTTCTAGTTTTAAGACTTAGGTAGATACTCACCCTGCCTCATTAGCATGACCTGGTGCTCATGGCGAGCAGCCTCCATCTCCATCTCCAGCTTCTCACGAGCTTCCTTGATGTTTCGGTCCACTTGGTCCTGCTGCTGCTTTTCCATCTCAATAAGTGCCTTCCAGCGCATGGCATACTCATACTCAAAAGACCCAGGCTGTGCAAATCTGGGTGGCTGTTCTCGCTCTCTATTGACAAGATTTCTGGGTTACTAAAACTCTGACCAAGATTCTCCCAACTAAACACTACATTCCTCCCAAGGGCTAAGACAACGGCTGCCACTGAACACATACAGCAAAGACTTGCCTCTTTTACACAGCCCATTACAAGCTTCCTTAAAAATAAATAGGCAAACAACTAACAGGGAATCTGTCAGGATCACATACTTGTGAAATTGCTGGTTCTTTATAACCAGCTTCTCTGGGAGTCCCTCTTCATCATCTAACTGGTCCATGGGCTCCACAGTCACAGGTCGAGGAAATCTGGAAGAACAACACTCAGCGTTAGTCAAATTATAACCTTCATTAGGCTTCTGTCTCTACATAAGTCAGTGGCACAATGAACTAATTAATGGTCAGCACTAAACAATTAAACATACTTCTGAAGGTGCTTTTACACCTAGTCCCAAGTAACCAAGTCCTATAAACGGAACTATGCGGAATCTGGGGTTGACAGGATGGGGTCAGGGTTCAGATCTCTGAACACAGCCTTTAAGTAGGTACAGTACTTAAGTGCGGTGCTGCCCCATTGCAGCCATCATTTGCCTGCAATGCTGGAGATGCTGCAGGGGCCACAGGCTTGAGCCCTGGGTTGGGAAGATCCCCTGGAAAGGGAACAGCAACCCACTCCAGTGGGTTTCCCAGTGCCTGGGAAATTACACAGACAGGGGAGCCTGGTGGGCTATGAGTTCACAAAAATGTCGGATACAACTGAGCAAGCAAACTCAGAACTCAAGATAATGACTTGGAATAAATACTAAGAGAGATGTTGCATGCACAAAACAATTTACGAGTTCTAAAACTTCAAAGTAAGGGGAGATTTAACACTGACTAAATGACAACTTACTGAAAATGTGTACTTTTAATCCTCATACCAGTTCCATTAATTTAAGATTATACTGAAAATCCTACCAGATACATGTAAATCCATGGCTAATTCATTTCAATGTATGACAAAAACCACTGCAATGATGTAAAGTAATTAGCCTCCAACTAATAAAAATAAATGGAAAAAAAAAAGAAAACCCTACCAGAGAGCTGGATTGTATATAAAGTCTTCTAAATGAACACAAGAACATGGTTCTTAGAGGCTAACTCCCCAGACCACAGAAGGAAGTAGCATTTAAGGTATGTTTCTGAAAATGACCCCTCACTCACGTGGTTAGCAGGAAGGAGCCTTCACTGCATCTGTCCAGAGCTTTCCGAGCAGCTGGCTTCCCTGAGAATTCAACAATGCCTTTTCCTGAGGGCCTGCCTCGATCATCCACAATGACTACAGCCCTCTCCACCTGGCCGAACACAGAAAAGGCTTCCTCCAGCAGTTCATTGGACACATACTGAGGAAGGTTTCGGACTGTAAGGGATGCACTATGGCAGGCAAAGCGCACACGCAGCTGCTTTCCACGGAGTGGCATGTTGTCCAGTTCTACTTTGGCAATCTCCGCTAGGGTTCGTGTTTCCTAGGAAGCAGAGAAAAGTCAGAATAACTCAACAGCTGAACAATGACCACCTACACAGCCATCAAGAGTCTAAAGTACTATAGCTCAATACCTCAATGTCTCCAAAAAAACCCCAAAAAACAAAAAATAAAAAACCCCCCAAACCCTTGGCAACAAGCATACAAAAAAAAAAAAAGGACAGAACTGGAAGAACGGATTCGTGTGTTTCAGATAATTCTTTGGTTAACCTAATTGCTCTGATGGCCTTGTAATAAATCAATTGGAAATTCTAGAGTTAATATCACTTACATGGTCATCAGTATCACAAGCTATTCTTTTAAGTGTTAAATCTCGACAATGACCAGCATAAAACCTACCCTTAAAATACAGAAGTCAGAATTATTTTAGTTTTAGCTAGTTATGTACCAGAGTAATCAGAATCACTACACCCTCGAAGAAGCCTCTTTAGAACCACAGACCTATCAAGGGACCCTCCCCTCCACATTCTTAAAGAGGAACCTGAGCCCCAGAAAAAATGACTTGCCCATATAGTTTTGAGTTAGTGGCAGATCTCACTAGCACATTATGTTCCTCATTTATGGAGATAGATAATGCCCAAAAAGGTTTCCCCCACGCACTTAAACACATTTCCTAAATCAAATCAGACATCTACACTTAAAAATGGTTATGATAAATGTTATATTATGTGGATTTTAGCAATTAAAATTTTTCTTTCAAAGTAGATACAAAAAAATAGATATAAAACTGTCCCCTCAAGGTTTTGAAGACTCTTAAGTGAGATAATACATGCATAAGGGCTTTGGAAATAAATTATATAACTCTTGATCATTACTAAAAGTCTTTTTCCGTTTTTTCAGGAAAAAATCTTAACTTACTAAAAGTATTTCCAGGGGGCAGTAACGGGAAAGGTACAGAAAAAACAAGATTAACTATGACTTGATAGTTATTGAAGCTGGGTAACAAGTATGTGCAGGTTCACTGTACTATTCTCTCCACTTCTATATGCTTGAAATGTCCCAATTAAAAAAAGTTCCAAAGGGGATACTTAAGCCCCCGAGTCCTAGGCAAATAAACCTATGTTGTCTTGAAACAAAAACCTATCAGGAAAAATAAAATCTGCATTTTGTCCTGTTCTACCAACTATAAGCTTTTACAAACATCATCTGAGAATTATTTCTATTGCCTAATTTTCCATATCCACCATTTCCCAGCTTCACCACTTTTTAGAGCATGCTCTAAAAGACCACAGCTGCTTACCAAGCGGATAAAGCCAAAGCCCTTGTCCTTATGAATGAAGACTTCACCTGCCTTCCCATATTTCTCAAACAGTTTCCTCATTTCCTCCTCAGTGATGTCAGGAGGAAGATTGCCCACAAAAAGCCGGCTACGCTGGGTGAAGGTCTTCTCTCCTGGTTTCCTAAAATTCTTCAGGTCAATAGTCAAGCCTTCATCTGAGAGAAGAAACACAGTCACTTAAAAGATTGGGGAGAGATTTACAGTCATATCCTCAAAGAGTTACAACTGCTGCTAGATAAGAAATGTAATTGCTGTAGAGAAGTCAACACCATTTCCCAATGGAATCTATCCACTAACCACTTATCACTTAGAATGTGAAAGCAGTATGCAGAGATCTGGGGGGTTGAGGGAAAGAGGGCGGACTTCTCAACAGCTCTACTATGGTCCAGGAGCCAACCTAGACTAACTCAGAGACAGAAAGACAATACAAGAGCTACTGTCAAAGAGAAAACCAAGCAAGTCAAGGAGCTCTATGTCAGAAGTGATTGGATTTTTACATTTAAAACATAACAACAACAACAACAAAAACCACGTGCCCCATTTCCCAGTCCCACATCAATCTTCATAACCTTAACAGTTCCCATTCTTTCAGGCTTGGGGTAATGTAATGAAAAGAAATGAGTTAGGAAAGAGTATTCTTTTTAGAAATTTTTGGAAATAAGGAAGATGAGGTTGTTTGTACTTTTAGACACATACAAGAGGTGCTTAAAGTTAGCTGAATGGACGGGAACATATCTTTAAAGATCTTTTACCCTGATTAAAACTAGGGAGGCAGAGGCCCCAGGCTAAAAGTATAATACTCAGTATCAGATTTCTTCTCCATTAAGTCTTAAAAATCTTCTTTATATTTTCTCTACCTACTAGTCATACAATGATTACCATAGTAAGAACCAAGCTCTCAGGTAAAACATGCAGTCATCTGTTTAGCAAAACGATGTGCCAATGCAGCAAAGCAACCTGTATTCAACTGCTATCCTACATATCTGCTCCTTATTTCAGAGAATCAGCCTTTTTCTATCCTAAGTATGGAGGTAAATAGGGAAAAGAACAACAAAGGTGTGCCATAAAAGCCCATTCCTTTATAATCCCAAGAGTCTAATCTAAAAATCAAGAAACTATTCCCAAAAGAGAACCTATTTCTACTTCATTACCTAGCATGTACTTACTCTGGCTGCTGGCTTGCTGCCCATTTGCAGGCATTGGTGGAGGTGGTGGCTGCTGCTGTTGCTGCTGGTGGTGCTGCTGATGGTGATGTTGATGATGCTTCCTTGGAGTGTGGTTTTGTTTCTCCAAGTTAAAAGTTTTATTGCTCTGCATCTTTGTACCCTAAAAATAAACTGGAATGTCAGACACATTCAGTGCTAAGAACATACTCAGTCACTAATTTCCTGGTGACTTACATGTCAATTACTCACCTATGGTACAATTTCAAACAAGTATAGTGAAGAAGTACAATTCAAGCATCTAAAACCACAGCACTAGCAGTTATATTGCACACAGAAACTAGACAAGTACTAAATAAGAACAGCTTGCAATAGAATGACTTGAGGAACCTTCCAGTTCAATAACTATATGCATTGAAGTGACTTTCCCAAAATAATCTACTCCTTAAAAAATGGCCCCTATCATAATATTAAAGCACACTTTAAAAATACAATGATTGAAATAGATTCTCTTATCTTGAGGACTAGTAAGTCTTGTTCTTCTCTGGCACCTTGCAGCCCTAGCCTACAGTTTATACTGTGGAATGAACAGCAGGAAAAGTATGAGCTGTATAGACTTGGACACACTTACATTTGAAACATGGTCCTAACACTTACTAGTAAATTACTTTTGAACCAGTTTCTTAAGTTGTTATAAAAGGAATAATAAAAACACCTACCTCTCAAGGTAGCTATGAAGATGAATAAACATGTGAAAATACTAGTTCTGTACTAGCATATATTGTTATTATTTAATCACAACAGAAAGATAAATGGCTATCAAAGTAATAAAAGCATCAAATACAAACATATACAATCATAAAATCTTAAATTCTGTCATTTAAAAACCAACATAAGGAAGTTCCCTGGTTGCCTAGTGGTTAGGATTCCAAGCCACTGTTGTGGCTGGGATTCAATCCGTGACTGGGGAATTGAGATCCTGTAAGCCACAGAGCATGGCCAAAAAACCCATAAGATTAAAATGAAAATTCCTGGTATAATCCAGGCTGAATACAAAAGTTGAGGGTTTTAAGATGGAAATTTCCTAAAGGATCAGCTGAGGACCATCTCCCTTATCCAAAGGCGGTTTTCCAGTAAATTAAATGACAAAAATCAATCCTTTTACCCTAAACACAAGACCCTCCAGCCAGATTTAACTGAAAGAAAGATGCAGAAAATGATCTTTTCCCTGAAAACTGTATTATTAACATATGATTCCCTTAGAATAAATTATATTCCTTAGATTAAAAAAATGTGACAAAGGCTTGCTAACTGTTGATTCTGGATGAGGAATATACAAGACACTTATGTATATAAAACTTTCTTAACACTGATACATTTTTTATACTTCATATCCTACCAAAACTGAAAATATCAAAGCAGTTAAGTTCTGTATATAAGTTCTTTTATAAGACAACAGGTAACATAAGGTATCAAGATGCTCATATTCTTTAGCTCAGGAATTCTACTTCTAATAATTTACTCTAAGAATATAATTTTAAGATTTAAAAACTACATCCATGAAATAGTCACTGTAACTGGCTTTCTGGTAACAAAATGATAAAAATGACTTTTTCTTTTTTACTAATTTTTTACATTAATTCACCAAATGCTTATTTGCTAGACACTATTCTAGGTGCCTGGGATGAATCAATGAACAGTCTTGCCTTCAGCAGTGATAACCTTACAGTGAGAGAAAATACACATAATAATTAAATTATGTAATACTTAAGAGGTTTAGTGCTAGGAGAAAATAAAAGTTGAGTGGAGGGGAAAGTGGACAGGGAGTGGAAGGGGAAGATCTGCAATTTTAAATAGAGTTGTGAGTTTAGCTTCACTAGAAATTTGACATTCAAGCCAAAACTTGAATTTTCATTTATATCATTTCATCAGTCTTGTCTTTTTCATTAATAAAGTACAAACTACATCTTTAACATAGAAAACTTAATAAAACAAAAACCCAAAGACTGACCACTGAAAAAGTCACTGTTGACAATTTGATATACCCTTTCAGTCACTGATTTACATATTTGTATGTACTCTAAAGGGTATACTCCATGTCACTAAATCTTCTACATTTGTTAATGGACTCTGTATTCTGCTGTCAACCAAGCCCTTATAGTGCCGGGACACTTAGGTTATTTGTAATTTGTCACTATTATAAACCAATGCTCTCAGCTAAGTCTTGGGGCACTTCCATGAGCAGACATTCCTCCCCAATGTCCATTTTCATTTCTTTACCTTTAAAAACATACACTGTCATTTCAAAACTGCAACCATAAATGCAGTTTTATATTCACCCTTTTCTCATTCCTAGTGTCAACTTAATTATAATTTTTAATGGTTACATAAAGTCCAGCTGGATGTACACTAATTTGCTAAACTACTCCCTATGAGACATTTAGGCTGTTTTCAGCTTTTCCCTATTATAATGCTGCAATAAATAATCTCCGTAGGATAAATTCTTATTAAACGCCTTTGTGACTCTTGCCACATAGTTTACAGTTTAACGACTTTAAATACTGTGAATACATGCAGCAGTTTCAGAGCAAATTTGATACCTTAAAAAAAGAGAGAGAATTTAAAAATAACACACAAGAAATTAAAACATAAAAATAGAGCTGGGGATAAGTAAGGTGGGCATTAGCATCAGACGTTTTCCCATATGAGTCCTACATATTAACACCCCTGTTCCCGACCCCAAAAGCCTATAGCAGAAACTTGAATTATTTTCACAGCCATTTCTCCAACTATTTCTTCTTACCTCTGGCTAGAATCCAAAGAGTCTCTCCCTTTTTTTTAATCTCCGGCCTTTAAGAGTCAGTGGCCCCAGCCTCAATACCTTGCATCCCATTCAGGAACCCACAATGCTATATGTTAGTAGAAATCCTTACAGAGATCCACTCAAAACTGAAGTATTAAAAACTCTATATTTACATCCTAACCACACCTCACCACTCCATTCAAAAAAGCCATTTTACAATTTCTTAGTAGAAATTATCTCTTTGATCATAGGGATGTTTTAAACTATTCAGAATTACTTCAATGGAAGTTATTTTTTATTTTAGAAAGTGTAATGTGGTAGTTAAGATGCTAATACCAGATATTTACTGATCACTGAATGTCAGGCACTGTGCTAAGACTATATTATCTCATTTAATACTCACAACTATCTTCTGAATAAGAAAACTGATGCACATCCAAGGTCACACAAATGTGATGAAGCATGGAGTAAAACTCAGGTCTGTTGAACTCTAAAGCTCATGTTCATTGCTATGGTACAAACTGAGTAATCGAACTCACCTTGATTTTAGACTTTAGAATTCAAAACACTTACTAAAATGTCACCTAACCTCTGAGTCTTAAGTTTCCTCACCTGTAAGATGGGGGTAACATCTATCTCACAGGGCTGGTTATTTTGACCAAACCAGATAATGGACATAACAGCTACTTGTTCCTAATGGCAATCACCACCCCTATTTCTACATATGTGGTGCTCCAGTTAGGCAAATGTCATCAATTACATTCTTCCCTTGCTCTTCTGGATTCTAGCAAAAATTATTTTTACAACCAAACTGCCTACCTTTGTGTCAAGTAAATGTCTCCATAATGCCAATCTTTATACTCTTTCCCTTCAGTTTATTTCCCAAGAAGGCATTCAACAGTGAACACAAAATAATACTGTATAAATCACCTAAAACAGTGCCCACAAAGTAGCAAGTATTCAGTAAGCATTTGTCCCTGTAATGTACTTCTGATGACCATCAATATAATTTGGAAATATGTACAGTTATCTGGGTAATAAATTCACTGCCCCTAGCCACTGGGGCCTCTGAGAAGGGAATAAATCATAAAGATCAACAGTAAGGATTTATATCTACTTATTTGCCCCGAAGACTAACCCTGATGGACTTTCTTGAGAGCAAATACATAATGCTGTTATAAAAACTGGGGCTATTTGCAACACAACTGCACAAATGTTGTTTAAGACCACACACTACACCACATATCTGTAACCTAAATAAAATGTCCCCTTAATTTTCAGGAAAAGGATCAACTTTTAAGTGGAAACTGTGTGGGGGGAAATCTGGTAAAAATCTACCAGATGGAGATAGCTGCCTGGATGTGGACCAGCCTGAAAGCTGCAGGAGGCACTGGCAAGGTAAGGTCCTTTTCTAAAAATCTCTTAGGACCTTTCATTTAGTAACAAGGAACACAGACAAAGACACAATATAAATCTAGCCAGGACCCCCCCCCATTAGAGTGGCCAGATGTATCAAATAAAAACACATTACAGTTAAATCTGAATTTCAGATTTTGAAAAATAAATGATTTTTAGTGTCCCATTCCACGTATACTAAAAAATTTGTTGTTTACATAAAATTCAAATCTAACGGGGTGTCCTGTATTTTCTCTGACAACCCTACCCCTACCTCAACTTTGGAGATAACCAAGTGCCTCCCAGTCCTCTTTAACCTCGACTTCTGTTAAGAACATAAAGCGGCAGCTTACGACAATAGTTTTTCCAAATGTAAAATACCCGATAGGAAAGCCATAAAATTCATTTTCATTTTTGAAAAAGTGATGTCATAAATAGATCGAGTAGACAGGCAACAGGACAAAAGTCTTCAAGAACCTGCCTAGGAAAACAGCAAGGGCTGGACTAGCAGATGAACTTCCCAGCTGAGAGTTCTGACAAAGAAGCATAGCTGGGGTAGGGGAGGGGGCCCCCTTTCTCCTCCGGAACTAACGGCCTCACGAGGTCGAGAGGAGGAGCGCCCGACAAAGCGCCTCCTCCTGCAGCCGCGACTTCAGGGCTCTCGGATAATAGACCCCACACCCTCAGGCCCAGGGCGGCTCAACGATTGGGGAACTTACTGACAAGGTTCAGCTTCCAAGATGTGTTGCACAAAAAAACGACAAGGGAAGGGAAACGGGAACCAGGTTAAAGCAGAAGGCGAGACCAAGGGAGAGCGATGGGCCCCTGCGGGTGGGACAAGACCGTGTGGCCGCCGAGGCAAGGCCTCAAGGGGCCGCGGAACGAACGGCCCACCTTCCTCCAAACCCAGCCTCGCCTTCATCTCTTCCTTCACCGATTGTCGCTAGAAATCCTAC